TTCTTGTCTTTTTGAGACAGGGTCTCCTTGTAGCCCCAGCTGTCCTGGAACTCACTATGAAGACCAGGCTGGCCTCAAACTCACAAAGATCCACCTGCCTCTGCCTCCCAAGTGCTGGGATTAAAGGTGTGTGCCACCACACCCAGCCTATTTTTATTTTATGTGTATGAATGTATTGCCTATATGTATGTAAGTGCATCCATGTCATGCAATGCCCACAGAGGTCAGAAGAGGGTATCAGATTCCTCTGAAACTGGAGCTAATGACAGTTATTAGCCACCATGTGGGTACTGGGAATCAAACCTGGATCCTCTGCAAGAACAGTCAGTCAGTCATTAACTGCTGAGTCATTTCTCCAACTCCAGTAGCTGGCCTTGAACTCAGAGATCTGCCTGCTTCTGGAGTGCTGGGATTAAAGGCAAGGGCTACCACACCCAGCTTCCATTGTGTTTTGAAATAAACTATGGTATAGCTCAGGCTGGCTTTGAACTCAGTATTAGCTGAGGATGGCCTTAAATGCCTGATCCTCCTGCCTCTGCCTCCTGAGTGCCAGGAGGAGAGGCATATATCACCTTGCTGGGTCCTTTTATTTATACATTTGTTTTTACTTTTTTATCCTTGGTTTTTTGAGACAGGGTCTCATGTGCTCAGGTTGGCTTCAAAACTCAGTATGTAGCTAAAGCTGACTCTGAACTCTGGATCCTCCTGCCTCCACCTCCTGAGTTCTGACATACATAGGTGTGCACCACCACTGTCAGCGGAACTTGATATTAGTCTGAGCTGGCCCTGATCTTCCTGCTTCTGCCTCCTAAATTCTGGGATTATAGGCCTATGCCAAGAGGCATGCTTGTCTGCCTTTTTTGAGACAAGGCCTCACTAAACTGGCCTGAGTTTGCAGTCCTCCTGCCTCAGCCTCCTGAGTGCTGGGACCGTGGACCATGCTACCATGGCAGGCTCATGCCTCAAGTAGATCAATTTTTAGCACTCACACAGCAGAGAAGTCATCTGTGCCCCCCACCCTGCCACCAGAAAGCATCTGCATCACTGGACAAGGACACCTGTCCTATGGCACAGCAACTCCATACTTGACTGCCTAAGGAGAAGCAGCTTCCCCTTCCCTCCCAACTCCTGATCCATATCATCTCACCTGGTAATCTTTCTGCAGCAGCACAGTGTGTACCAGGCTCTTGTCTAGGCACAGAGCTGCCAGCTTCCGGCAGGTACGCCGCACATTCAGAACCAGGTCTGTGCTGGGCACATGGCTCAGGATGTGCAAGAGGATTTCATCTGAGAAGCCCAGCAGGTGGGTGTCGCCTGCTGCCTCAGTTGCTATGGGGGCAGCATCTTCATCGTTGGACACATCCTGAAAGTGAGTGAGGTGGGGGAGATATGGCTGTCAGTAAAGCGCTTGTGCAGCAAGCATGAGGACCTGAGCTGAGATCCCTAGCACCAACATAAAAAGTAGTGTAAGAAAGCAAGTGCCCAAAATCCCAGTGCTGGGGTAGTGGGGGGACCAGGCAGGGAGAGAAGCAAAGAGAAGCCACACTTCTTTACTAACTACTCTTCACTGTACATCACACCTCAAAATTTCCAGAACCCCCACTTAGAACTGCAAACCAAGAGACTAGATGTCAAAGACAACCATGAACAGCCTCTTCCAGTCAGCTCCAAATGTTTTGGCTATTCTTTGGTCTTTTTAATTAAAAATTTTTTAAATTTATTTAGGAGTGCCCTGCTTGCATATATGTAATCGCACCTATGTGTGCAATGCCCAAGGAGATCAGAAGAGGGCGACGGAGTCCCTGGAACTGGAGCTGCTGACAGTGGTGAGCTGCCATGCGGGTACTGGAAAACATACTTGGGTCCTCTTTAAAAGCAGCCAGTGCTCTTTACTGGTAAGCCATCTCTCCAGCCCCTTTATTTAGTTTTTGATTATTATAAATAAACTTAACAATCCAGGCAGACCTAAGAGGGGAATAATGAAAACGTGGAGCTCAAAGAAGTGCAATGAGAACAGAAATTACAGGATACTGCAGGCAGATGCAGAGGGGGCAGGGCACTTTCCTGAGCAATGGAAGGAAGGGTCTGGTGATAAATATTCACATAGGAGACTGGAGAGATGGCCCAGTTGTTAACAACTGCTTTTCCAGAGGACCCAGGTTCAGTTCCCAGCATCAACATGACAGCTAACAACAATCAGTAACTCCAATTCCAGGGGATCTGATTCCTCCTTCTGACTCTGAGGTCACTGCATGACCTTCTTCCTTTTTTTTCTTTTTTTGTTTCATCTTTTGTTTCTTAGGGTTTTTTTTTGTTGTTGTTGTTTTTTGGTGTTTTTGAGACAGGGTCTCCCTGTAGTCCCAGCTGACCTGGAACTCACTATGTAGACCAGGCTGGCCTTAAACTCACAGAGATCTGCCTGCCTCTGCCTCCCAAGTGCTGGGATTAAAGGCATGCGCCACCATGCCTGGCTTCTTTGGTCTTTTTTTGAGACAAGGTCTCCCTGTAGCCCAGCTGGCCTAGAACTTGCTATGTAGATCAGGTTGGCCTTTAATTTACAAAGACCTGCCTGCCTCTGCATGGATTAAAAGTGTGTACCACCACACCTGGCTTCTTTTTGATACAGTCTCAAGTAGCCTAAGCTGACTAAAACTATGTATCTGAGAATGACTTTGAACTCCTGATTCTCCAGTCTCTACCTCCTGACTGCTGGGATCACAGGCAGGCACTACCATGCCTGGTCTATGTGGTACAGACGATGGAACTCAGGGCTCCATACATGCTAGAAAAGCACTCTGAGTGCTGGGACTAAAGATGTATGCCACCATGGCTGGCCACAACCTCTCCCTTCTTCCACTTTGCTTTCTAGACACAACCTTATGGGCAGAAGCAAAAATTTTAAAGACAATGAGTAAATTCCACAGGTACACTACTACACTGAAATTTTCCCTCTTCTTTTTTTACTTTTTACATTTATTTATCTTGTGTACCAGAGAGAGAGAGACAGACACACAGACAGAGAGAGAGAGACAGAGAGAGAGAGATAGTGTTTGTGCATGCATGCCACAGCATGTATGGAGGTCAGAGGGCAGCTTGTAAGAGTCAGTCCTCTCCTTTCATTATGTGGGCCTCAGGAATAAAACTAAGGCTGTCAGGGGTTGGTGAGATGGTTCAGTGTTTAAGAGCACTTGCTGCTCTTGCAGAGGACCTGAGTTCAGTTCCTAGCATGCCTGTTGGATGGCTCACAACCACTTGTAACTCCAGTTCCAGGATATGCAATGTCCTTTCCTGGTCTCTGCAAGAAACTGTATCCACCCACAAAGAGCCACACACAGACAAACACATAATTTAAAAGAAAAATAAATCTTTAAAAAAAAAAAAAAAAGCCTCGGGGGCTGGAGAAATGGCTCAGTGGTTAAGAGCACTGCCTGCTCTTGCAGAGGTCCAAGGTTCAAGTCCCAGCACCCACATGGTGGCTAACAATCATCCATAACTCCAGTTCCAGGGGATCTGATTCCTCCTTCTGACTCTGAGGTCACTGCATGACACAGGGGCACTTACACACATGCAGGTACTCGTACACATAAAATAAAAATAATAATAAAACCCAATGGGGACGATTGAGAATCAATTCCCAAAAGTTGTCCTCTGACCTTTACACACATGCTATGGCATGTACAAGCTGCACTCACATACACACTAGGAAAGAACAGATATAAACCGAAATAGACAAACCAGTGAGCAGGATGCAGGAGAGGGAGTGCAGATTCCTGCTACCTTACACCTATTACAGGACTCAGTGGGATTTTCCATCCCACCGAGATCCTAGAGCTTTGGGGTGAAGAAACTGCAAGTAAAGTCCTAAGCCCCATCACCCTCCCCCACACAGGAAGCATGCAAGAGAGAAGTGGACTGGACTTAAGTTAACATAAAGTGGGGGGAGGGGGGGGTCTCAGTTGGTAGACAGCTCGCTTGGCAAGCACGAAGTCCCGGGGCTTCATTCCCAGCACTGCACACAATCAGGTGTGGTGGTGCACGCCTGTCATGTTAGCATTGGGGACGTTAAAACAGGAGGACTGCTTTAAGTTCAAGACCAGCTGTATACTGAATCCCAGACCAGCCTGGCTTCAGAGTCCAAAAAAACAAGAAAACAGGAGTGGAAAGGGCAACGTCCCAGAGCTACGAGGGCCGAACCAAGGCACAGAGAAATGGGGAAAGGGGCTTGGAAACGCAGGAGGCTACGTGAAGGGGTCCACTCTGACCATCGGGGCCATGGGATTGGGAACAGGATGGAAACAGGAGGACGGGGGCCTGGGAGAAGGGTGGTATGGGGACAAGAATGGGCCCCGGATCCAGGCCAGCCATGGTCGGGAGGGAAGGACCGAGGGGACCCCAGCTGCAGGGATAGGAGTAGCGCTGAGAGAGGCGCGGGCCGTACCTCTCCGGAGCTTGCCATGTTGCTGGCAGGCCACGTCGCGGCCGCCACAGCCCCGCAGTCTCCCCGTCTCCCAGCTTAGGGATGCTCGAAGCCGGCGCGTCCACAGCTCCACAGAAGACCCCGGCAAGGGGCGGGGCTGAAACTCACTTCCGGCGCCTGCCTAACGTACTTCCGCTATCCCGCAGGAGGGCTCAGTGTGGTCGCCACGTTGGGTGTGATGTCGCCATATTGAATGTGGCGGCGCCATCAGTAAGTCCTAGGGTTACAGGCGCTCTGGGAGTCATAGTGACTCGGCCTCACCTGTGAGCTACCCTGAGCTCCTCCTGCTGTCAGCTATGCATGCTCCTACCTCCAGGCCTTTGCATTCGCTCTTCACTCCTTACACTGGGTTCACAAGCTACCTGTCAAACCACCCTGCATAATTCAGTGTTAGCTGTTCCCCTCCCACCTTCAGGTGCACACCTGAATTTGCCCCTCATTTTGTGTTATAGCTCTTATTTTTATTTTATGCATGAGTGTTTGCCTGCATATATGTAAGTGCACCATGTGCGTGCAGTACCTGTGGAGGGCTTTGGGCCTCCAGGAACTGGAGTTCCAAGCAGTTGTGAGCCACCTTCTGAGGGTTCTGGAAATCGAACCTTGGTCCTCTGCAAGTCTCGTGTTATATTTCTCAATACATCATCTGATCTGACACACTCTCTCTCTCTCTCTCTTTCTTTTTTTTTTTGGTCTTTTTGAGACAGGGTCTCCCTGTAGCCCCAGCTGGCCTGAACTCACTGTGTAGACCAGGCTGGCCTTGAACTTAAGAGATCCGCCTGCCTCTGCCTCCTAAGTGCTGGGACTAAAAGATGTGTACCACCACGCTATCTCTTTTTATTTTTTCTTTCTTTTCTTTCTTATTTTTAGAAGCAAGACCTCACTCTATAGATCAGGCTGGCCTAAAATTCAGAGACCCTCCTGCCTCTGCCTTCCAAGTGCTGATGGTAAAGGTGTGCTGGCCACTGGAGTGCTGGGACTAAAGGTGTGTGCCACCACACCCAGCCCTTTTTCTTTTCTTTTGACACTACTGACTGGGGAGTGAGCCTAAGTCCTCAAGCTGGCTACATGCTAAGTAAGCACTCTAGCAATGAGCTACAGTCCCAGCCAGTGTGTCTATTTTTTTTCCTTTCTTTTTAGTGGTGCCTTCAACTCCCATAACTAAGCAGAGACTCTACCTACAACTGTTGTTGGCATGTCATAACACTGAATATTTAGCGAATAAATGAATGCATGTGTGATGTGACTTTACCCTCACTATTTGCAGTTAAAAGTGGTTTATTAGGCCTGGTAAGATAGCTCAGTAGATAGAGGCCACCAAGACTGATGACTTTACCTGAATTCAATCCCTGGGACACCCATGGTGGAGAGAACTGCCCTCAGACCTCCACAAGTCTACCTACACACACACACACACACACACACACACCACAAATACACATAAATAAATAAATAAATAAATAAATAAATAAATAAATGTAATAAAATATTCTTTAAAGAAAATAATGGGCATGGTGGCTGGTGCATGCCTTTAATCCCAGCACTGGGGAAGTAGAGGCAGGCAGATCTCTGTGAGATCGAGGCTGGCCTACATAGTGAGTTCCAAACCAGCTGGGGCTACAGAGAGACCCTGTCTCCAAAAAAAGACAATAATAATAATAGAATACAAAACAGCTTCTAAAGAGTAAGGGAAGGGACAGATGAAAACCCAAGTGCTTTCAGTGCAGAGCAGATGTGCTGTCAGTTAACACAATAGTCAGTTCTGGTCACTAGAAGCACAGAAAGCTACCACACTAGTAAACAGGAATCCCAGTGTGAACTGTACCTCTGGGATGCTGCTGAGTAAGGAGGTTTGCAGATAGATGCATGGGTTGTAGCAAATGGATCCCCCAGCTTCTGCCATGGGGCAGTCAAGGGTGTGTGGGAACAGAGAGTACACAGAAACTCATGGCATGCCTCACATTGCTTAGAACCTAAAACTGCTCTAATGAATACTTTTTTTTTTTCAGTGCTTGGGATCAACCCAGGGACTTGTGCTGGACAAGTGCTCAGCACTGTGTTACATACCAAGTTAAAATTTTTGGCTAAATCTTTGTGTGTGGGAGTTGGTGATATGACTGAGTTCAATCCCAGGGACTTACATGATAGAGGCGAGAACTGATCTCCACAAGTTGTCTCTGACTTCCACATACGCACCTTGGTACATATGCCTACCATACACAAAATAAACAAGCAAATAAATAAATAAAGGGGGCTAGAGAGATGGCTCAGTGGTTAAGAGCACTGACTGCTCTTGCAGAGGACCTGGGTTCGATTCCCAGTACCCACATGGCCATGGCGGCTAAGAACTGTTCTTAACTCCAGTTCCAGCGAATCCGACACCCTCTTCTGACCTCCTCAGCATTGCATGATACAGGTGCACTTACTTTGCAGGCAATACACTCATACACATAAAAATAAAAATAAATTAAAAAAAGAGAAAACTTGTCATTAAAAAAAATAAAATAAAATGAAATGAAAGAAAGAAAGAAAGAAAGAAAGAAAGAAAGAAAGAAAGAAAGAAAGAAAGAAAGAAAGAAAGAAAGGCTAGCCTGGCTGAAATTTTCCAGATATTTTTGTCTCCACTTCCTATCCTGTTTGTAGGAGGGCTGGGACTACAGACCTACCTCACTGCACCTGGCTTTACATAGGATCTGGAGATCTGAAGTCAGGTTTTCATCTCCCCAGGCTCCTAGCTAATTTTAAATACATATATCCGAGGAGCCAGGTGTGGTGACACATGCCTGTAATCCCAGTTAGGGAAGCAGAGACAGGAGGATTTCTGTAGGGTCAAGGCCAGCCTGGTCTACATGGTGACTTCTAGGCCAGATGGCTACACTCTGAAACCCTATCTCAAGAAAACAAAGGGGCTGGAGAGATGGCTCAGCTGTTAAGAGCACTGGCTGCTCTTACAGAGGACACACTTCAGTTTCCAGCACCAACATGGCAGCTAACAACTAACTGTCCATAACTCCAGTTCCAGGGGATAAGATACCCTCTTTGGGCCTCCTCAGGGATTGCATGATATAGGTGCACTTACAGATATAGGTGCACTTACATACATGCAGGCAAAATGAGAGAGAGAGAGAGAGAGAGAGAGAGAGAGAGAGAGAGAGAGAGAGAGTTCAAGGTCATCTTTGGCTACATAGTGAGTTTGAGGCCTGCCTGAACTACATGAGGCCCTATACGTAATCACATTACATTGTATATATGTATGAAATTGTCCAAAGTTAAATTTAGCTGGGTGTGGTACTGTACACCGTTAATTCCAGCACTCAGGAGGTAAAGACAGAGGGATCTCTGGGGGTTCAAGGCCACCCTAATCTCCATAGAGTTCCAATCAGCCAAAAAGACACAGTAAGAACCTGTCTCAAAAAAAGAAAAGAAAGAAGGAAAGAAAGAAAAGAAAAAAGGAAGAAAAAGAGTAAAATGAGGGGCTGGAGAGATGGTTCAGCAGTTAAGAGCACTGGCTGCTCTTGTAGAGGAACCAAGTTCAGTTGTTTCCCAGCACCCACATGGTAGCTAATAAGCATTCATCCATAACTCCTGTTCCAGGGGATTTGACACTCTCTTCTGGCCTCCATGGACATTGCATGCACATGATGCAATTACATATATACAGGCAAAAATATTCTTATACATAAAATACAAACAAATGAAATTTAAAACTCAAAAAATATTTTTGAAAAAATAAGGGGGCTGGAGAGATGGCTCAGCAGTTAAGAACGCTGGCTGTTCTTGCAAAGGACCTGGGTTTGAACTAACAACCCAGGCTAACAATCATCCATAACTCTCAGTTCCAGGGACTCTGATGCCCTCTGCTGATCTCCACGAGCATTGCACAACACGGGTTCACTTACATGCAAGCGGGCAATACACTCATACACATAAAATAAAATAAAAATAATAAATTAGGCTGGGCGTGGTGGTGCACACCTTTAGTCCCAGCACTTGGGAGGCAGAGGCAGGAGGATCTCTGTGAGTTCAAGGCCAGCCAGGACAGGAAATCTGGAGGGAGATGTGTTGTAGGGGACTGACCAGTTGGAGGGATTTGGGAAACGGATATGATTAAGGATACATTCTTAGACCTGTATGAACATTTCAAAAAATAATTGTTTTGAGATTTAATAATAGCCCTAGCTGGCCTGGAACTCACCAGGTAGACCAGACTGGCCTTGAACTCACAAGAGATCTGCCTGCCTCTGCCTCCCAAGTGCTGGGATTAAAGGCATGTGCCACCACACCTGGCTAAATAAAACATTTTTAAAAATAATACAATTTTGAATACAATTTGAGACAGACTTATCATCCCAGGCACTTGGGAAGCTGAGACAAAATTACCAGTTAGAATGCCAGACTGAGCTACATTGGATAACTCTATCTCCAAGTAATAATGGTAATAATAATTATATTATTATTTTGGTCTTTTAAAAAAATATTGTATTATTTTTTATTTTATGTGTATGCGTGTATTGCCTGCATGTAGGTGAGTGCACCTGTGTTGTGCAATGCCTGGGGAGGACAAAAGAGGCCATCAGATCCCCTGGAACTGGAGTTACAGACAGTTGTTAGCTGCCATGTGGGTACTGTGATTTGAACCTGGGTCTTCTGTAAGAACAGCCAGTGTTCATACCTGCTGAGCCATCTTTCCAGCCCTATTTTGGTCTTTTTGAGACAGGGTCTCCCTGTATCCCTAGCTGGCCTAGAACTCTCTATGTAGACCAGGCTGGCCTCGAGCTCACAGAGATTCACCTGCCTCTGCCTCCCAAGCTATAATCCATGCCCAGCTATAATAATTATTATAAGAATTAAAATAGGGACTGGAGAGATGGCTCAGTGGTTAGGCTGCTCTTGTAGAGGACCTGGGTTTGATTCCCAGCACCCACATGGCAGCTAACAATTGTCTGTAACTCCAGTTCCACGGGATCCGATGCCCTCTTCTGACCTCCACGGGTGGGCATTGCACGACACAGTGCACCTACCTACATGCAGGTAAAACCCTCATACACATAAAATAAAGAATTAAAACAATAATATTTCAGGTTGGGAATGTGCCACGATATAGCATACTCAAGAGCCTGGGTTCAATCTCTAAAATGAAATAAAACAGTCTCCTGTTCCATCCTCTGTCCCTGTCCCTTGCAATATTTCTGGTTGCATTCATCACAGTATGAAATTAAGGAGTCTTCTGTAGGAGTGGTTAATGTTCGCCAAGCAATAATCAAAGGGCTATGCAGATAGTTCCAAGGGTAAGGGCACTTGCTGCCAACCCTGATGCCCTGAGTTCAATTCCTAGGATCCACGTGATGGTAGAAGAAATTGATTCCAGCAAGTTCTCTTCTAACCTCCACCCATGTGCAGTGGCGCCTGTGTGCTCATTTACCCATAATAAAAAATAATGGAAAGGTGCTGAAACTGGGTTGCTCACGAGCATTTATTATGCAGCTGGCTTGTATGACTAAAGAATTGACTTCTTCATTGTAAACTTTAATAAACTCAAGCTTCACATAGGCCTGTCTAGGAAGACCAAGCATATGGGCTGTGGATATAGCTCAGTGGCAGAATCCCCCAGTGAGGGGCTGGGGAAAGAGGCTCAGTGGCACAGCCCCTGCCTAGAATCCCCAGTGAGGGGCTGGGGTGTGGCTCAGTGGTAGAGCACCTGCCTAGAATCCCCCAGTGAGGGGTTGGGGGTGTGATTCAGTTGTAGAGCACCTGCTTGGAATCCCCCAGTCAGGGGTTGGGACCTGGTTCAGTGTTAGAGCACTTGCTTAGATTCCCCCAGTGAGAAGCTGGGGGTGTGGCTCAGTGGTAGAGCCTGATATAATATGAACAAGATCCCGAGTTCTATCCCCAGCACTGTAAGAAGAAAAAACACTAGACCAAGCTTTAAACTGTGGCAATGTCTTCATGTTCCTACTGTATTCCAATGTTAGCATCCAACCTATGTGGTAAAAACCGGGCGTAATGGCACACAGCTATAATTTCAGCACTTATGAGGCAGAAGCAGGAGGACTGCTGCAGGTTCAAGGCCTATGTAGCCAATTCCAGAACAATGCAGTGAGATCCTCCCTCTTTTTATTTTGTTTTGTTCTTTCCTGAGAGGGTCTCTCTCATCTAGCTAAGGCATTTTTTGTTTTTGTTGTTGTTGTTGTTATTGTTTTTTGGTCTTTTTGAGACAGGGTCTCCCTGTAGCCCCAGCTGTCCTGGAACTCACTCTCTAGACCAGGCTGGCCTTGAACTCACAGAGATCCGGTGAAGGCTGATCTTTAACTCCTGATCCTCATGCCTCCCCATCCAATATCTCCCATGTTCTGGGATGACTGGTGAGAACAACCATGCCCAAGCTAGTCTCAGCTGCATGTTGAATTCAGATCAGCCTGTGCTACAAGACTGTTGATAAAGACACACACACACACACACAGTTTGTTGGACAAAAGTGACCGAGTGAAGGGTCTAGTCAATGGTGTGGGCTGTGAATGGTTCCAGTTCATGTCTGTTGGGTAACTCAGAGATAAGTCAAACCAGGGCCCCCTGGGTGGCCACCCTTCCACTCTGCTCCACTCCCCATTCTGCTTCTGGGACTATGATGACGATGGATGCTTTGCCAGCCTTCTCTATACAGCCTGGTTTGTGCTCAAATCCTACACAGATCTGGTGTACTTATGCAGGTAAAATTCATAAAACAAGTTTATATATATATATATATATTCCTAAAGGTAAAGGGGGCTGGAGAGATGGCTCCGCAGTTAGGAGCACATACTGCTCCTCCAGAGGACCTGAGTTCATTTTCAACACCCACATCAGGTGGCTCACAAACATCTGCAACTCCAGTTCTAGAGGGATCCAACTCCTCTGGCCCCTGCAGGCACGTACACTAAGGTTCATGGACACATATAGACATATACACACATATACACATAATTAAATGTGTATATAAATAAATCTTAAACAAAGATCAGCCAGATATGCTGGTACAAGCCTTTAAGTCCACCACTCTGGAGGCAGAGCGTTCCAGGCTAGGTGGGGCTACAAGGAGATCCAGTCTCAAACAAAAAAACAAGAGTTGAAGATGGACTTTACTGATAACATGAGGTCCTGGGTTTAATCTCTAGCACTAGAAAAAGTGCTGGGCCTTCCAGTAGGTCAGGTCTTAGCCAGTCTGCTCCAGGGCTCAGGAGAGAAGTAGGGAAGCAGGACAGGGTGGTTACTTTGGAGGTAACACTCCTGGAACCTTTAATGGCAGAGATTGAAGGAGCACCAGCTGTTACTGTTGTGCCCATTTCTCAAATGGCAACTTGGCATCTAATCTGTGTTCTGTTCTGAGTTGTCCTGTCTCCTAGCTTTGTCCCCAGTCAACCTGAGGCTCTGACCCGCATGTACACACACCATACCATTGAGGTCAGCTCATCCACCAATTCTATGCATCATCCAAAAAAGGCAAAAGATTGTTTTAAAATCTCTATCTTGGGGGCTGGAGAGATGGCTCAGCGGTTAAGAGCACTGACTATTCTTGCAGAGGATCTGGGTTCGATACCCAGCACCACCATCTGTAGCTATAGTTCCAGGGGATCTGAAACCTTCTGACCTCCACAGGCATTGAATGACAGGGGTGCACTTCTACAAATGTAGGCAATACTTATAACACATAAAAGTATTTTAAAAATCTTTCTCAATGTTTTTTTTCTTTCCAGCTTTGAGGTTTATTTTGGTGGTTTGGGATGTTTTACCCCAGGGCTGGCCTTGAACTCAATATATAGGCAGAGATCACCTTCTTAGGAGTCTAGTCCAAGCTGACCTCAAACTGCAGTCTTCTTTCCTTAACCTCTTAAGTGCTGGAACGACAGGTACCTACCATATCTGGTCTCAGTCTTGTGGTGGGTGGGATTTGAGACAGTGTCTCTATGCAGCCCTGGCTGGCCTGGAACTCACTCACATAGATCACGCTGCTCCTGAATCCAGTGATCCACCTGCCTCTGCCTTCTGAATGCTGGGACTAAAGGTGGATCACCGTGACTAGCCTTGTCTTTGATTTGTGATGTGTTTGTCTACACATGCAAGATCATTGCATCTGATCTAACAACCATGATCCTGTGTTCTTTTGATCCTGTAGTTTTTAAGTGTTTTACCTGCATGTCAGTATGCCACGTGAGTATAGTGAATATCCCCTAGAACTAGAACTACAGAAGGTTCTAAGCAAGAACAACCAGTGCTCTTAAATGCTAGGTCATCTCTCTAACCCAATCCTGGGTTCCCCACCCATGCTCTCCAATAGGGTAATTGTGATCTGCATGCATTTGCCCATACAGCAGCAGCCATATCTGATTTGGTCTTCTGTACTGCCCAAGTAGTTGATGGATTGAGTTAATAAGTAAACAGACACATGGCAGATAAGATATGGGTGGATGGATAGATGGAACAGGGAACTGATAGATGGACAGATAAAAGCTGGAATTGCCCAAGAGGGCACTTCCATCAGACCCTCTACCCTTAGGGACCCAACATTACCTATTATTTCAAAAGCACTGCCTCTTCCATTGTAGCACCATTTGTCATTGGTGATCCTTGATCCAAGACTTTCTTTCTGGGTACCCCCCCTTACTTTCTAATGTCAATCACAGACCTGGCAAAGGACAAGGCAGCCAGGCTTGATTTCATTCCCACCCAGTCTGGCAAAAACAATTTATCAGGCTGCTAACTCAAAGTAGACAAATTGAGCCTTCTAGGAACCCAGCTGCTCACCTGGGCAGACTCCAAATCCACATCTAGACTTAGCATAAAGTCACAGGAAGAAAACCACCCTCCAGTCAGAAGACACAATTCACAGTTTTGCCCACTTCCTAGTGTAAGCTCTTGCTACCTTACTGTTATCTTGAGTGGGGCTCAGGTAACAATGCCGGAATCTCAAGAGAACTCCAAGCTCAGAGAGGTAACCTTACCAAGGTGTCTCCTTCCAGACCCCAGGATGGTTCTGAAGACTAGCCCAACAGCTCAGCTGAAGACAAAACTCCCCTATCCTTAGGCATCACCAAGAGTGCAGAACCAAGAGAAATGCTGGTAATCTGGCTAAGGGCAGGGTCCTTTGGCTCTCTCACTCAACAGACTGTTTACTGGGCAAGGTCCTCAAGCTCAACCCCAGACCCCTTCCCTTTCAGGTAGGGAGAGAAGCACCGCCCCCCCAAGTTACCAATCCATACAGCAAAGTCAGAGTCACAGTCGCCTGTTTATAAGGTGTGCACTTTTATTAAACTGGTCTCAAGTCAGTGTACAGGCAAGCCCTGGCTGCCTCACACCTCAACCCACTCCCAAGGAGACCAAAAGCCTTCATACATCAAGTTGGGGGGACAAAAAGAGGGGGGCCAAGATGGGTGACCATTCAAAAATAAAAACAAAAATAAAAAAGTATTAAGGCGGAAGATCTAAAAAAATTTTTGCAGTACATAATTTACACAAAAGCGATGCTGTCGCCTCCCCTGCATAGACTCAGGGTGTGGACTGGGCCATCCTCCTTTTGGGAGTGGGGGTGGCTTTTGGGAGGGACTTCCTGTAACCAGGGATACTTGGAATGACTATTAAAAAAAAAAAAGTACAATCAAAGTCCTAGCCACATTGTAGAACTTGGGGATGCTTGCTCCAACCGACCGCTGTCGCCTTCACCTTTCCAGTTTTTAAATCCTGAGTCAAAAGCGCCAAAA